CAGTGGTCCGTCATTGACTTGAACCTGTGTAAGCAAGAACGCAATTAGAATATGGACGTCACATATAAGCATGGAGGATAAGCACCAACACCATTCCCAACCACAGCAAACAGCATCTTCTGCGTACCTTTGGGACTTTCAAATGAAGGTGTGCCGGACGGGGAATGCGGCTGCGTTCGACCTGTCCGGAGGCGATATGGTTTACTTGCTGGGCTGGGAGTTGGGGTGAAGTCATCGGTTGATCCCTTGCAGCATGCTCTGGTCCGTCGTTGACTTTGACTTGAGCCTGCGGGTAAACAAGAACGCAATTAGAATATGAACCATATAAGCATGGAGGATAAGCACCGACACCCTTCCCAACCACACAGAAGCTTCTGCGTACCTTCGGAACTTTCAAGCGAAGGCGTGCCGGACGGGGAATGCGGCTGGGAATGCGGCTGCGTTCGACCCGTCCGGAGGCGATAGGGTTTACGGGACCAGTAGGCTCTTTGCTGTGCTCGACGGTGCGCTCGTCGGTAGTGGTGGATTCTCCTCCTGCAGCGTGCGAGCGTGATTCGGTGTTGTCTGTGGGCTTGGGTGCGTGCGAAACGATTTGGATAGGGTTTACGGGACCAGTAGGCTCTTTCCTGTGCTCGACGGTGCGCTCGTCGGTAGTGGTGGATTCCCCCCCTGCAGCGTGCGAGCGTGATTCGGTGTTGTCTGTGGGCTTGGGTGCGTGCGAAACGATGTTGGTAGGGTTTACGGGACCAGTAGGCTCTTTGCTGTGCTCGACAGTGCGCTGGTCGGTAGTGGTAGATTCCCCCCCTGCAGCGTGCGAGCGTGATTCGGTGTTGTCTGTAGGCTTGGGTGCGTGCGAAACGATGTTGATAGGGTTTACCGGACCAGTAGGCTCTTTGCTGTGCTCGACGGTGCGCTCGTCGGTAGTGGTGTTCTCGGAGGCCGTTTTCTGGGAAGCAGGGTCGAAGAGGGACTTGATAGGCTTGTAGTGCCATGCCATCGAAGGCTCTCGGGAGGTTCCGTAGGTGCTGGGCATGTTCTCCTGCGACAGGGGGTACTCACCCTCCTCCCAGTCCACCGAAGGGGTGGAAAGGGATTCATCGGGCTTTCCCATGGAGGCTGGGTTAGGGATCCCTCCTGTCCCGTGGTTTTCCAAGGCATCGGCGACGAAGTGAAGTTTCTTGACCGAAGTTGACTTTTCCGACGTGGCAGTTGAAACTGACCGACGAGAGGCCGACGTGGCCGTTGATGATCGCGCGGCCAATTTCTTGATTTGGTACGCTCTCGCGGATTCTCTATTCGCCTTCGCGGTTTCGTTGCGAGCCCGGCTCACCGAGCTCGCGTTCGAGGAAGTGGAAGTTGTCAACGCCGACGACGACGAGAGGTCACTTTCGAAGGAGTTGTCCGGATAGAAATACTTCCACAGAGCACGGTTTATGTGCTTTGGGCGGCAAGTCGACTCGTCCGAAGACGAGCCGACTTCGCCGCCAGCGAGGACGCGGCAGTCGCATCCGGTGTCGGCCGGATCGAAACGCTCCATGTCGAGCCTGAACGCTTGGTGTCCGATCTCGCGCTTTAGGCCCCAGGCGCGGAGGAGCAACTTTTGGGCCTTTTCTCGATGATCGTCCGTGTTTCGGATGTATTCGGCGAAGTTTTGAGAGTCGAAGCTAGAGCTCAATTGTCGAACGGCGGTCATAGTGGAGAATGGCGGTCGTAATTGTGTGAGAGGAATGTTTTGTTCAGTTATTGTGGGTTCTGAGAGCCGAAACTGCACAATAATTCGTAGGATGAATGTGAGAGAGAGTTGAACAAGTAAGAGGCGGGCAGAAGGCTTTAAATAGTGGTGTTCGCGGGGTGGTGTCCGCACGGACGGGTCGCCAATCCCTTCAGACCTTGGCAGTGCCGGGCCTGGATAGCACGTCGCGGACCTCATAACTTTTCGGGGTTTACCCCTTGCTGGGAGGCTCCGCTTGCTTACGAGCGACGCGTTTGCAGTAGTGAACCCTGGATGCTAAATAGGATTCGAGCGTTGATTTAGCCTACCGTCTCCAACGCGCTTTTCGGGTTAAGCGGCCTAAGCAAAATGTTCACTTTGATGCACGTTGACGTGCGCAGTTATCCTAAAGCTGTCCCGCTAGCTCGAAGGAATGTTCTCCCAAGGGACCGCTCAGCTGTAGATTTCAGTCCCATGTCAGCTTCCCATGGGTCTCATGCCCAACCCGACTCCTTGGGAAGTTGGGAACCTCTTGCAGAGATGTTCCCTTCATGTTGTAATTTTTTTTTTTCCATTGTTACGTGTTGTGTTCTGACCCAACCAATTATGCCCGAATTTCGTACACATAGATGTAATCTGCGGCACTATCTCCCGCCAAATTCCATGCCCAAAATTCCATGCCCAGGGAGGGGAACGACGGGCCACCCGTGCTGTCCGTTTTCTTCGCCGCTTGCACTATGAACGTGAGCAGCAGAATGAGGATCGGAAATCAAAAGAAGCGGGCATACAATATAGGGGCCGGCGAAGGCTAAATGCAGACCACATGTTACAGCGGTCCTAGGAAAAGGGTGGGCATATCTAGGATTGTTTCATCAACCTGATCGTCCTAGCACAGTACCAAAAGGAAGGCGCTGTGCTGCCCCTTTCAGTCCGCCTGGCTAGTTCATTCCAGGAATCACAGAGCTTTTCGGGATGGGTGCATCTCTGCGAAAGCATGGGAAATCTCAATCGTTGCAGGATGCAGCGGGTGGCTGGAAAAGTGGCAAGAGTCTTCATATTCCACTATACGGTGGCCCAGTAAATAACCCAGAAGGAACCCGTCTATTCCCGCCATTCCCTGTCAGTACCCGTCAATTTCCACCGCGTCCGTCACTTCCCCCGTAAAAGTCCCCCATAACGCAATACCGGTACTCGAGGCAGAGGATTTTGGATTGACTCCGATCATTGAGATCATAACCACCACAGCAGTATGTAGAACTACCACCAGAGAGAGAATGTAGTGATGACTTGAGCAATAACTGAACGGTCGCTGCTCACGTTGCCCTAAGTTTTTGTCTGGTGGTCAATCAGCAATCTTACAATACTCAAACGTATGTAAGATCCGGCTCTGCGCTCCATCGACCGGGCGTTAGTCGGCGGGCCAGCATAGCGGTAGCTGAAGCCCAGCTCTACGCTCCAGCTCCACCTCAGCCAGCTACGCTCCCGGCCCATCACTATCGCACAGTTGTCAGGAAACATGAAGGGGACGCACGCTTGGGCGACCGAACGTCTAGAGGCTAGCCATAGGACTGTACCTGCCACGCAAATCTTTATGCAGGGCAAGCAGGGCCGCGGTAGCCTTAACAGCCAGACTTCATTCTGAACGACAAACGGAGCTGGACCCTCTGTTTCTGAGTGACTGGCAAGCAATGGACGTGGACGGTACCACCTGGCCCCAACCCTCCTCGGGTGCTCGCCTTTCCGCACGACGCCGGGCGGCCCTGTCTCCTAACGGGACCGAAGGGCGGTTGCCTTTCAGTGCGAACCAATCTCTTGGGGAGAGAACGCTGGATGACAGGATGGGACGTGAGGGTGTGTGGTGGGGTAATGACAGGATACTTTGTGCTGGCTTTGTGTGCGTTTGGTGTTGGCCTTCACCCACCCATGGTACAAAGGTGGGAGACCGGGTTTTCCCCGTATCAGCGCGTAGAAGACATTTCTCGCTCGGCATTGCAATTGCTTATCGGGCGATATAAGAGTAGTAACATGGAGGCCAGTTGGATGAGACAATTCACGCTGACACTGCAGGTGTCAGTCTTCCAGTTTGATTCTACAATTTCAGGACAACCGGTGCTGAGGTTGGCGTTTGGAATCTCAGCAGAACACCACGCTCCTTGCCACATATACGGCGTTTCGTATGATCCCCTCACACGTGCGTCACCGCAGCGAACAAATTGCGATGCTCCTCATACAGGCATGCAGGCCAAACCTCGCCAATCTCAGTGTGGATGATCGTTTCCTCGTTCAACGCCCACTGCACCCGAAAGGAATTTTGCGGCACGCTTGCATTGCTGAGTTCTTGAACTCGCTCTGGGAATCCGGACGGGCGCCCTCCGTGCCGACGGTGCACACAACGATCGGGCGCAGAACACACGTATATGATTTGGGACATTTCTTAGCTCATATGGATCGGATTGGCAATGCGGTGCACTACAGAAGCAGTGCTACACGACCTCACGCCACTTGTGTCTGGAGCAAGGCCGACAGCGTTTTGGAAGAGCTTATCTACCATAAACTCGGCTTAAATTCCTCCAAATCCCCAGTGATCGACCGGGAGAAGTTCAATAAGTTGATGCGCCCTCAATCTTTCTGGCCGTTGCTCAGGGGATCCGTAGACGGAGATGAACATTTGGGTGTAAGGTCAGGTCAAGGGATGCAAGATTGGGCTGCATTATGCTTGTGTATATCTCTTCCTGACCATATTGTTTCCATCTGACCGCAGGGTGCAGATTGCTTTGTAGCACTAATCATGGGCTCATGGGAGTAGGGGGTCGTCCCGCAGTGGGATATCCCGCTCCCGTCCCGTCCTGTCCTGCACCCGTCATGCAACCCTAAACCCTAACCCTAACCCTAACCCTAACCCTAAGGAATCCCGCATGACTTCGACACCATTTCGACATGGTGGAAGCAGCAAGCCGCCCTAACCCTAACCCTATGGGCAGTAGACGCGCGTATGGGTGTGCTGTGAGCGGGACGGGATATCCTGCGGGACGAGACGCGGGACCAGCAAATCCCGTCCCATCCCGCGCAGGACGACCCCCTACATGGGAGTGGATCGGCAGCAAATTGGTAAGGACCCTAAATACTCGAAAGATGTACTGTACTGTAGGCAGAGTGTGCATTTGATCCCCCCCCCCCCCCGCGTGCACATACTTGTGGTATGCACAGTGTTATACCTTTTGAAGAGATGTTGACAGCCTATGGCTACACAGCTCTGTTGCTCTCAGGAGTCAGTTGCATCGGAGTTGGTCGCATTTGCTGACGAGAAAACGCGCTGGAGTGGCTTTGCGTGGCTGTGCACGCATGAGAACACGCCCACTGTCGCAATCCAAGATCCGCAACAAGAAGGAGGACCTGAGCGACGCAACCCAAAACTCCACTTTTTTGTACTCTCGCTGCACGACCTGTGAATTTGACATATCCCGTGGCTGCCATAACCCCCTCTGATCGCCGTCGGCTGGATCCCGTACCGCTGAGTCCTACACTTCGCCGTCATTGTAGCCGCTTCGAACTCAAGTCCACGCAGGTGGATCGGTCATCTTCTCGCCATATAGTTCGGTGCTAAAGACCTCTTACACGTCTGCGTGTGTCTGTCCGCACTAAAATTGAAACGAAACTGGGTAATCGCTATTATGGAGGTAAGCTTAGTGTTTCATGGTGGATTACGAGACCGCACTTAGTTTCGCACGGTATTCTGACCTTGAAAATCTTCAAAGCAGGAAGAAATACAGTCTGGGGAGTCCTCCGGATCCGTCGAGTCGGCCGGGTACTGGGCGGAGTGGTTCCATTCGTTGAAGGGGAACGAGTTCTACTGCGACGTGGATGAAGAGTACATTCTCGATCGGTTCAACTTGACGGGATTGAACACCGAAGTGCAGCATTACGCCATGGCATTCGACCTGATCACCGACGCCCTGGAGGAAGACATAGACGAGCCGATTCGGGTGGAGGTCGAAAAGTCAGCTCGGCACTTGTACGGGCTGATCCACGCCCGGTTCATTCTCACCGCGCGGGGGCTGGTGAAGATGCTGGAGAAATTCCGAAACAACGAATTCGGGAGATGTCCCCGTGTGCTGTGCGATAACCAGCCGGTCCTTCCCGTGGGGTTGTCGGACGTGCCGGGTATCAAGTGCGTCAAGCTGTACTGCCCGAAATGCGAAGACGTGTACAACCCAGTCTCGCGGCGCCACCTGGCTATCGACGGCGCCCACTTTGGCACGACTTTTCCCCATCACCTCCTCCTTGCCTACCCGACCTTCATCCCACCAAAACCCACGAAACGATACGTCCCGAAAATCTTTGGGTTCAGAATACATCAGATTGCCAACGAACAGCGTAAACAAGACGAGTTGATGGAGCAGGGTAGACTAAGGCGGGGTAACAGCGAAGATGAAGATGAGCAACAGCAGCAGCAGCCGCCCCAGGCGCAAAATCCACGTCAGCAAAACAATCATCAGCAACAGCATCCACAACACAATCAACAGTAGTGAAACTGGAAAACGGACACACACACGATCATTTCCCTTTTCTGCTGTCGGCTCCAAATACCAATAATTTATTTTATAAACCCCGAAGACATGCGCTCTGCTTACCGGCTCTCTGCTGCTAGTCGATTCGCAAAAGCTTTCAACCTCGAACGTTTGCAGTAGCACCGAAACCCGAAAGCCCGATATTCTGCGGTACACGCCCTGAACGCAGGTAGCTTATCGGCTCGATTAGAAAGTCGGGCAAATCGCACGCTGCAGGGACCCAACCACGACTCATTCTCCGCAAATCCGCTGGCGGACGACTTTTGCCGATGGGAGCGCCTATTGGGCACACGCTGCGGAGGCATTGGTTCGCGGCGGCCCTCGTGCGTTTGCGCAAAATATGGCGCGTGGTGGCGTCCAGGCTTCCCCTTCTCCCTAGCTCGCTTTTAGATATTTGTGTACTCTATATCGAAATTCTCAAATCAATGAAGTGTTTGAAGGCACTCAAACCAGATTAATGCTCTGAGGTTATTGGATGCAACTGGTCTACAGGAGTCTCAAATGGGCCAGCGCTCGTCATAGCGTCGGTTAGAATTGAAAACCTCGTTGACACATTTGATCCTCGGCCCGGGTCCAACTGGGCTGGGGTAGCTTTTGACGATGCTCACGTTCATATTACGCCATTACGGGCATCCCTTAATTACACGCCTCACACGCTCGCCCACCGTTCTCAACGCCGACTCCAATTCCTTGCCGCAGCTCTCCGACTCCCAATAATCATCGCCGTAGACGCTATGCAAAGACCGTACCTAAAAATCAACAAAAGAGCGTTAGGGCGGGCCACGAACGTTGTGCTGACGAAAATTGAGTCGTGCTTACCATGTGATAGCGTACTGGAGGTGATCATTCTTGAAATTCAGAAAAGCGGTACGGGATAGTGGGAAGCCTTCTTTGTCGAATTTGGCGTTTATTGCGGAATCTATAACGGAGGAAGGTGAATACTGCCGTATTGCCGAGTTGGTGCAGGATTGGGAGGTATGGTTCCGTACCTGATACCATCTCGATGACCACGGGCAGGGCTCCCGTGTGCTTTGTCATTGTGTCCATGTCCAGCCAGTACCATTCATTCTTTTCTGAGAGTGTGCAGCAGTAAGCAAACATGATGCAGCATATGGTTTGATGGTCAATGAGGCCGCTCACCTGGCTTGTTGTCCGGGATGAACATGCCGCCCTACCCACAATGTCGAATATTAGCCCCCCGTCAAGATAACAATCCGCCAACGAAACAGCACAGTCCCACCTTCTCCGGCGCCCTCAACAACCCCTCAATCGTCACAACCCCCGTAACCAGCCCCGCCCTTCGTTTACTCTTCTCCTTCTGATCCCTCGGTATCCACCCCCGATTCACCAATATCTTCTCCCCCGTGCCCGCCCGCTCAAACGGCGTAATGACATAGTACCCCGCCGACGCGCCCGAACTAACGATCCCGCCGCCCTGGTTTTGCTGGTCTTTTCGCGTCCGCGGGCCCAGCAGCATCTCTTTGTCGTGGTGGAAGGTGCCGGAGACTTTGACGCGGCGGAACTCTTCGGCGCGGTCGAAGACTGGCCTGTTCGGAGAAATTGGGCTGTATCAGCGAAGTTCCTTACGCTCTCTGATACAAATATTCAGAGGTCTTCGAATATGTACCGCTCATCCTTCGGCAAGTCCACAGCCGGCAAATGCAGCTTATCCTCCGCACGTTTCATAAGGTCCAGCTTCCACTGCAGTCTCTGGACCTGCCAGCAGCCCAGACAGAACGTAGTGACTGGCACTGCCCAAAGCCACCCTCCTAATGCTGACGTTCGTCTCGACGGTGCTCCTGCTGAGAACCCGGTTGTTGAGTAGGGGCGGGTGGATAATATCTTGGGCGGTGATCTTCGGGCGCCTGTGGGTGGATGTGGTGAGCAAGTGACTTGCAAACATAGACCGGGTTGGACGCCATATATATACCTGCTGCTGCTGCCCTTGAGAAAGCGTTTGCACCTTGCCAGTTCATGTCGCTCAAGTGAGTTTGCAAGGCAAAGGAATGTCGGTAACGTTCCGGTTGAGGGTTGAAAGGGTTGAAAGCAGGGTTGAAAGCCACACTTTCACCGAGATGGCATACGCGCTCTCTCGGACATCTCTGCAGTTGCTGAGACTTCTCAGACTTCCTACCCCCGCCGAGGCATTCGACTGCATTCCCACAACGGACAGAACCCAGCAAGAGCAATAGACCAGCAAGAGTGATAGGACGGCTGCCGAGTCTCTGATACCCAGAGCTATGCTGCCCTCAGACCGGAGAAAAGATGGTACTATCATCTTGTGATCTGCGTCCTTTGAAACCTCCCTAACCCACTACACCTTTGAACTCAACCAGAGCTGGAAAAGAAACGAGCCAAGCTCGCCGAAATCCGCAAAGCAAAAGAAGCCCGTAAAATAGCCCTCGATGCCCAGCGGCGGGATCCTGTAGGTACATCTTGAAAGTCCCTCCCACTCCCCACGCCTCCAAGTTGGCCTTACTCCGTCTTTTCTGATTTCGAGGTTACAGATACCCTATCGCGAACAACAAGCAGACGCGATGTAGATAGCTTGGTTGCCTCGCTGGTCGGGGAACGGTCATCGGTTGCGGATGATGGGTCCGATGCTTTCCGGAGTATGAGCCCGTCGCCGTTGCCGAGTTTGAGTGAGATTAGGAGTCCCGGGAGTGTGGTTGGGGCGACGGGGGGGGAAAATGTTGTGGAGGCGCCGTAAGTGATGGGGGCGGGGTGTTACGATGTGAGTTAGTGCATTCTGCTCACCGTCATTTGCAGACCGCAGCCCAACCTTTCGTCTGTGGATTTTGTATTTTTCGATTGTCCGCCAAAGGTGCACGATTGTCATTAGCTGCAGAAGCGAGAGATGTGGGACTGACTCCAGCCGACTTCTTAGGAGAAAGTCATGTACACGAAAGAGATACAGACCGACTTTGTGAATACAGACTGGAAACCGGAGGAGAAAAGCACGTCGCCCACGCAACCCACCAAACCACGGCAGCTGCCAGAAGAAACGTCTCCAACGACAAACGGGTCCCTGAGCGACTCTGAAGAAAAGATAAAGCCAGTACAGCCGCCGAGAGAGCTGAGCGAGGAAGAGCGGAAGGAGATCCTATCCTCAGAGCCTTTCCTGACTTTCTTCGACCATTCCGCGCGAGTCCTCGAACGCGCATTAAATCAACCATCGTACGATTTCCTCAAAGACTACACCGTAGCAGATGAGGTGCACCTAACAGGAGACGGAAAGGGTATCAAGCTCCACTGGTCGTACGCAGACGAGCGATGGACACGGAATCGCGCTGTAATGGACACGCGATGGTCCCAAAAGCACCCAGAGCTCTTCCTAGGCGCCTACGGCAAGAACCAAGGCTCTGTAACCGAAGCCGACGGGGTGGTGCTCATCTGGAACCTGCATCTCCGCGAACAGCCCGAATACGTCTTCCAATCCCAGTCGGACGTGACGGTGGCGACGTTTTCAGATTTCCACCCGAACTTGGTGGTGGGCGGCGCGTACTCGGGGCAGATCTTAGTGTGGGATATGCGCGCCAAGAGCCTGCCGGTGCTGAAATCGCCGTTGTCGGCGGTGGGGCATACGCATCCGGTGTATTCGATGAATATCATTGGAACGCAGAATGCGCATAATTTGTTGACGGCATCGACGGATGGGTTGGTTTGCTCTTGGCAGTTGGATATGCTTGCTCGACCTCAGGTGGGTGGAACCTTCCATTCCGCCGTCACACTTCTTAACAAAATCTGACACGTATGACCACACTCCAGGAAGCACTCGACCTAATCTACCCCTCCTCCGCCCGCGCCGACGGCGTCTCCATAACAACCATGTCCTTCCCTCCCGGCGAAACCACCACTTTCTGGGTCGGCACCGAGGAAGGCATGGTGTACCAAGCCAACCGGTACGACCGCGCGGGCAGCAAAGCGGGGATCAACGCCAACGACGTGTTTAAGGGGCATTTTGGACCCGTGACGGGGATCGATTTCCATCCCATGTCGGGGCCGGCGGATTTCTCGGATCTGTTTTTGACGAGTAGTGTGGATTGGACTGTTAAGCTTTGGCGGGCTAAGGTAGGGTCGGGGTATCTTGTATATGAGACCGGTGGGCAGTTTATTGACGCTGCATGTGGGAAACAGTCCGTTTCGAAAACATCGGCAACACCACAAGTCGTGGCGCCGTTAAACTCGTTCGAAGAGGCGGATGACTATGTGTACGATGTCAAGTGGTCGCCCACTCATCCATCGTTGTTTGGATGCGTCGATGGGGCTGGGAAGTTCGATATTTACAATCTTAACCAGGATGTTGAGGTGAGTACGGTGAGAGCATGCCCACGTTGGAGAGTTCATTGTGCTGATCAAGAAACCGTTGCGTTTGTGTTGCAGGTACCGATAGTGCGTATACCCGTGGGCAGCGGTGGCGGCCTGAACAAACTTGCGTGGGATAAGGAGGGACAGCGGACGGCGATTGGGTCTGCTGATGGGCAGATCCATGTTTATGATCTGGGAGAGGTAAGATTCGATTGGGTCGTGGGGACCCAATCCCTCAATTTGAGCTCTAATACCATTTGTCTGTTCTGATTGCAGATCGCTCAACCACGGCCCGATGAATGGCATCTGTTCCAAAAGACTCTAGCGGAAATGGAATCCCGCTAGAGGCGAGCTATTTGATAATGGCACATAGATACAGAAGACGGCCAACATATATAAACAAGTTACAGTCCGTGAGAAAGCTCTCAACACAAAATGGACGCCATTCTCAAAAAAAAAAAGAAGTCTGATCCCTCCATCTCTATCTACCTATCTACAAAGTCATTCTGCAAAGTCCACCTGCAAAAATGCAGCACAGCGTCGATCCACGCAATCGTAGCGGCGCTATCCACCGTCGCCGTCTGCTGCCTAAACTCAACCGTCCCGTACATCTTCACCGCCTCGAAATTCAACTTGAAGTACCGGCAAGAGTCCCCGTGTCCATTAGAATTGACCAGATTGATGAGGGTGTGGATGTCGGTCGCGGCGTCAATCTCGACGAGGTCCCGGTCGCCCCATAACGCGGCGTTGGAGCGTAGTTGCGGGTTCGTATCACCTCGTCTGCTCTCTGACACCAGCCCGTCAAACGTCTCCTCCTGTAGGATGAACGCCTTTGCCAACTTCTTGAGTTCAGGCAACGTCCACCCCTCCCGTGGCCTCCCCACATGCACATGCAACCCAGTCCGATCATCCGTAATAACCGGCGCAACCTTTAACTCCTTAATGACCTTCTTGGTCTCCTCAATCCCCTTCTCGCCACTCAACACGGGGGAGACCAGCTCAATCCCATAATGGTTTTTAGGACACTCGTCAACGAGGGTTCCGTCACGCAGCAGTTTCCAGTAGGGCGTGACGTCGTGGGTGAACCAGACGACGCGGGCGTCGATGGATTGTTTCTTGGTGAGGAGGTCGGCAAGTTCGTCGCGGGGGTAGGGCGAGAAGACTTCGATTTCGACGCCGAAGGTGAATTCGGAGGGGGTCGTGAGCGCGGTTTCGGCGGCGGTGGGGACCCAGGGTAGGGAGAGGGCTGCTTCCCGGGTTATCATTGTGTGATTTCGAACTTTCAGTATGAGCGGGTGGTTATGGGTCGCTCGCTGAAGGGATGGAATTGGCAAAGTTCGTCCGGGAGGAAAAAAGAGCAAGGAAAGTGACGAGCCCGGTTAGGGTTACCAACCCTAATCCCCAGCCTCACAACCCTAACCCGGTGATAACCCTAATCCCCAACCCTAAATCCCATGACACGCAGTGAGCGCTGTTTCAATAGTATTTTCCGTTGCTGCATCCCTTCGCTCGATCCAGGGAATTGGTTCCGGCTGCCCCAAAGCCCGGGTTAGCCCAGATTGGGATGTGGGATCAGCGTGTTGCATCACGTGACTGATCTCTCGTAATCCACCGTTTTTCTTACGGCGATTCGCAAAGGGGGAGCGATGATGGGTGCGTGACTCGAAGCTTGGCCACCGCTTCTGTGCTTTACAGCAAACTTCCTTTCTCCGAGACCCATTTTCGGAGCGGAAACTTATCCTGGGAACGTCAAAATGTACGTACACAGCAGGGGCAATCGCTGCCCGGACGGAACACACATCAGCTGGTGGCTGGGGTTACGCTGTTGAGCGGGAATTCTCACTTCATTTTCAACTTGTAGGGCCAACCTTCGCACCCAGAAGCGCCTCGCCGCTGCCGTCCTTAAGTGCGGTCAGCGTAAGATCTGGCTTGACCCTAACGAGGTCAACGAAATCTCCAACGCCAACTCCCGTGAGTAGAGACAGTTCGCATCTGGAGGGGCGGGGTCGACAAACGAATTGGAGACCGCGGGAGAATTGGGGAAGGGTGGAATGATTTTCATGGAGGACAATCCACAGTAACATGTCGAACCTTTGATCTTCAGGCCAAAACATCCGCAAGTTGGCCAAGGATGGTTTGATCATCAGGAAGCCCGTTGCCGCTCACTCCCGGTACCGTGTCCGTGAGAGGGCTGCCGCCAAGCGTCTGGGTCGTCACACTGGTATGTGGAATTGTGATTCCAGTTGGCTGATTGTCCTGGAGGGAGACCTAACCGAATTCACTTGGGATGTGCGCTCTTTGTCGATGAATAGGTCCCGGAAAGAGGAAGGGTACCGCTGGTATGTATTGAATCTGAAATTTGAGAGCCACCTGAAAGTCACCTGAAGAGCTCGAGCTCACATGCAATGTTTTTTTCAGAGGCCCGTATGCCCACCACCGTCCTCTGGATGCGCCGCATGCGTGTCTTGCGTCGTAAGTAGCAGCGATTCACCACCACCCGGCGGAATATGACCGAAAATGACATGGCCCGGTTTTCGCATTGTACAGGTTTACTCCGCAAGTACCGGGAAGCTGGAAAGATTGACAGGCACTTGTACCACGAGCTCTACATGAAGTCCAAGGGTAACGTCTTTAAGAACAAGCGTGTGTTGATGGAGTACATTCACAAGGCCAAGGCCGAGAAGACCCGTGTGAAGCTTCTCGAGTATGTATCTGCGTCCTGCTTCTCTTACTGTTACGACATATGACCGTTCCGACATGCTGACTCTGAGTTTGCTTTTTCTTTCAGGGACCAGGCACAAGCTCACCGTGTCAAGGCGAAGGAGGCCCGTCTCCGTCGTCAAACCCGCTTGGACGCCAAGAAGGAAGCCATCCGCACTGGCGCTACCGCTACCCCCGCTGCCAAGTAATCTTTCTGATCAATTTGTCACATATCTCAATACACCTGATTTTGTCTGTACTTCCTTTTTCCCCCAAACCTGCCCATGTTCCTCCACTGTGTTGTGCAATTCGACGCGCTAAAGTGCTAGAAGACCTCGGCGTTTGGCTACCGATGGATATCGATACATGTAGTGTCACACCATGGCGATAGGAATCAAAGGAGAGAGCGAAGACGATCTTACACTTGCCTTAGTGTAACCGAAATACCAGTTCTGTTTCTCTGATTTCCCTATTCAGGTTTCGAGCATCTATACATGCTTTCTTCGATTGCTCAAGAAGACGATGGGGACCACCTCCTCTGAAGGAGTCCACATCCCTGCGGTTTCCTCTCTCTCTCTTTGGCTCTGTCGTGGGCAGTCTTGGATGTGCGTTGGTCAAAGAAGCTGCGACTAAAGCTTGAAGGTACCGTACCCGTCAATCGAGGAATCTGACAGCGCGATTTCTGGCCTCCGCTCCTCGTACAATCCGTATTGGCGCTCACATGTTGATCCCAGAGCTTATTTTCTGTCAATCGTCATATGCCGTGCTTTACTTTTTCCGTGCCTAGCAAAGCAGCAACGGCGGACTGGAGGGCACACGAGTGCATTTTCATGAGAGAAGGTGTCGCACTCCAGAGTCCAAATCACCACCGCTACACAGTCCTATCACCGTGCCCCTCCTCAAAAAATGAAGAGCGCCGGCATATCAGACTCCGAGTCCGGCTCCAACGCCAAACTGCCGCTGCCTAGACGGTCCCCTGCCAGTGCCTCGCCAACAAAAGGGCTCCGGTCTGCAAGGCGGCTAACAACAACGACCTCCAAAGCCTCGCTGCGGACAAAAGACGGGCGCAGTCTGGTGGTTGCGGAAGCACCGCCGGCCATCGTGGTGGACCATTTCCCGCAGGCTCCCAAAGACACCCAACAGCAGCGGCAAGACAACAGCCGCCCCGAATCGTCCTCCACAACCACCACAATCTCCTCCGCCGCCTCCTCCCGTGAACCCACCCCCACCTCCCTTACGCGCACCAGCCGCTCCCGGGGCCAATACGGCCGACACCCCGACTTCCTCACGCTAAATATCGGCACACTGACGGGGCGGTTCTCGCTGCAAGTGCACAATGCGGACGATGTTGGGGATGTGAAGCGGCGGATTCAGGAGTGTGAGGGGATCCCGATGCAGAGCCAGATTTTGTTGTGGGGGGATAAGGCGTTGGCGGATGATGCGAGCCCGATTGCGGCGTTTGGAATACAGGATGGGTCGAGTTTGAGGCTGGTTTTGCATATGTCTAGTGGTATGGTGATTTGCCGAGTCCTCTTGGCTGTTTCACATTGGTTGGGAACTACAAAACATCTTTCAAGTGATTGAAGTTTCTAATATCTCTGAATTTCAGGATCCGGCCCGCCCTTAAAAGTAAAATCCGCTGAAAAAGAAGACGACCCGGTAGTCCTCCTCCTCTGCAAAGAAGACGACGACATGTACATGCTCGAGTTCCACATGGCTGAATCAACGAAGGACAACAAACAACCCAACCGCAAACGCCTCCTCCAACTCGCCGAACTCGCCGGGCTAGAAATCTTCCACGACCTCTCGGGCGACGCATCGTCGTTGATCATGCGGTCCTTGCAAAATACGGATGGGGATTATGTATCCATGAGGGGGATGGTGAGGACGGCCCCGGAAAGTGTGAGGGAGGATGAGAGTGTCGACCGGCCGGATTCGGGGGACACGGGGTCGACAACCTCTACATTCAAATCGATGTGTTCGTCGGCATACACGGTCGGCGGCCGGCCCATCTCACCCCTCTCCGACTCGACCTCCCGTCCGTCATCCGGTGAATCAGCCATGGGGGAACTCTTCGGCGGGATGTTCGGGTCCAACAGCACGGTCGGCAGCCGATCACGCATCTTTGGCGTCGTGCCCAAGACCGCTCGTCGACGGGTTCGACCTGCCACAGCCATCTCGGTGATGCGCATACCCGGTGGAGGCGGGCCGATGATCGTGATCCCCAAAGCACGCCCGGCGTCGGCAATCCAGTTGGCGAAACGGAGGAGCGTGATGGACGATACGCCGCCGTCGACGCCGCCGGGTGGGTCGCAGAGAAAGAATCATGGTGGTAAACCGGCGTCGCCTGTCGTTGCGCGCGCGAAACAACAGAGAGCCAGAAGCGCGAGACCGTTGACGACCAGATCGCATAAACTGGGCGGTGGGAGCACCCACACAATATCTCCTACCGCCCCACCCCCGACATGCGAGCACGTGGACGAGTTCATCTCCACCGCCGTATCGGGCCGCGTTTCGCGGATCGTCAACACCACCGCTGTGCGGAGGCAGAGCGGCGATGGGGCGACATCGGGGGGTGCTGGTGAGAAACAACAGGGTAGTCAGGCGAATATCAATAGGCCGCGGTCGAAGCGGGAGAGCAGGCAGATGCCGCCGCGGACGCCGATTTCATCGGTTGTTGTTGCGCGACGGTGTGCGCTGTGTAAGAAGAAGATTGGGCCGGCTACTTCTTTTAAATGTCGGTGCACACAGGTAAGATGCTTCACGATGCCTTTCTGCATGATGTGAGACTATGTCGTGTTTGACTGACATTCCAATATTGATTCGTAAGGTATTCTGCTCCGTACATCGGTACTCAGACCGCCACGGGTGCACCTACGATTACCGCGGCGCTGGCCGAATCGCGCTCGCGAAGGAAAACCCGCTCATCAAAAAAGACAAGCTTGAAAAGCTCTGAGCGGTTTCACTTGGAATCATCATTGTCCAGAGAGTATGTCTTTGATTTTTTGTTTCTTTTTCGTTTGTATATTGTAAATTATAGATTCCTCGTACGAAACGGTTATGCACAATTTTTGAATACGCTCGACTGCTCTCGCTCCAGGTTGCGGGGTTGGTTATCCCGTAAAGTCAGGAGTAACTTTCTAAAACTTGAACAAGCTCACCCTGCATGCAGCCATCCCGTGGTGCACTAGAACCCCATTCCCGGCACCTGCTACGCCTAATCTCCCACATACGGTAGGAAGCCAAAGCCTCCGTAATCAATGCAGCGCCACCTCAGTAGTCCAAAGTACCGGCCCATCGGTCTCGATGTTCACAATAACAACCGGCTCATCAGACTCCTCAAAAGCGTTGGAGGTGCTGACCAGAGTTCCAAATGCAAGAGGTTTTGTGCGGTCTGAGAGACGGAGCGGGTTGAGGAAGAACACTAGATCGTTGCAACAGTTCAGGGAGGACATACCAAGATTCCATTTCAGCCCAGATGTGATCGTTCGCACCGACGAGACGCCGATGGGAATGAGCCCGCAGGTCGGGCCTTCAAGGGCGCGACTGCAGGGTATCTCATGCGTGCCCTACATACAACATATGCATGAGTCGAAATCCAACCTTCACAACAACCTCAACGTAGCACTCACCGCCTTCAACAAAACCGCAAAACTCTCCGGCGACATCAAATACACCCTCCTCTGCGGTTCCACCATAAATAACGTATGCACCCCCGACATGACATGGTCAAAGCGTCCACTAAGCGCTCCCCACACAATCACATCCAGTAACGGCCGCTGCTGCGATGGCTGCGATGGCTGCGATGCCGCAGATACCATTGTCGGCCCGAGACAGTGCGGGAAGAACAGGCGGGAGAGTTTCTGGCCGGTTGATGAGGTGGCTGTTGGGGAGGCAGGGGGGGAGGGATCGCGTTGTTGGCCTCCTTCCACTTGTCGGCGGATGAGCTCGAAGCATTTTTGGAGGTCGGTAGTTTCTTGGTCGGTGATGTGGAGGGTTTGGGTTCCCTGCCAATCCTTTGAGTTCAGGGCGGTGCATGCGATGGAAACATTGCGGATGGTTCATACCTTCCGCTCATACCATTGTTTCACTTCCGACCGGAGGGAATCGAAATCCCCGCATATAAAATCAGGAATGTATCTGCATCCGACCGATGAGTTCAACCCATATCCACTGACTACTCACAGAACACGATCAAACAAGCCTCACTTTGACCGTTCCCCCTCGTCGACAAAAGCGTCATACAACCGGTTCGCCCCTCCATCCGCACAAACATGGGCTGCAGCTATACATTCAAACGGTACCCACTGCAATCGATCAGTAACAGCATAAACAATTCTCCCCGGAACACAACGCCAGGGAGTGCATACTGTTCTTCCATATCCTCCAGAACGCTTCCTTTGCGCCAATGGGCTGGTTTAGAACGATGAGCACCGCGTCGAAGGGGGCATCTTGGGCGATGAGGTATTTGCTGGCGCACCACTGTTGAGGGGTGGATGGGTGCGAGGAGGTGGACATATTCCCTAGTTCGCTATGTTCTCTGCGTAGTTGCGTACTACGGGGAGTGTGTTCCGCACAACGCTGTCTTCGGCGTGAGTCTGCGTGCAATGCCGATGTCAAATGCTCACTCTGATGCTCACTCTTCCCTCTTTGACGGAGTTCGCAAATTGATTAGTGACGCTTTCCAGGACGCTTTCTAAGTTTCCAGCGCCAGTCCAATTCCCAAACAGCTCAGAATTTTTGGCCGACGTCCAACACAAGAACAGTACACATGACTAACATCGAAGACCCTCGGGAGGAGGTATGTAGGCGCTGTGTTGTATTGTAGAGCTGGCGGCTAGGCGCATCCAGGGTGTGCAGCTAACTTTGCCGGCCACTGAGGGCAGTGTGGTTCTTTTCGCTGGTGGAGCCTGCGAATCCTTGACCTCAGTATGTTTAATTTGCTTGCGTTCCAACCCTCAGGCTCTTCGTGAAGCAGCGGCAGTCGGTCTTCTGGACAAATGCACCCATTACCTCCAAGCAGGCACCAACCCGAACGCAGTCAACAAAGTCAACCAATGGACCGCCTTGCACTGGGCAGCAAAACGTGACCAGCCGGGTGCCGTGAGACTACTCCTCCAGTACGGCGCAGATGCCAGTGTGAAGAACGCAAAAGGGGAGCTGCCAGTCGATCTCGCCAAAGGGGCGGAGGTGAAGGAGTTGTTGGGCGCCGGCGTTGGGAGAGGCGAAAGCGCCACGCTGAAGGAGGAAGAGACCGAAGGGAAGGCGTTTGTGCCGAGTTATTTGGCCAGCCCGCCAATTGCCGCGCTGTATTCGGAACAGAATTCGGGGATCTCTGTTCCTGTGGTGCCGGAGAAGAGGCAACCCCCGACGATAACGAAACGGACATCCGGAGTTGTCAATCAGGAGTCGGCACAGACGTTGAAACCTTTGGGTCAGGCTGCACCTGTGCCAAATCCAATTGAAACCAAACGTAAAGACGATGGAGAACTGGTGGAACTGCTGGTCTACCTCAACGACTACAACCTGTCCCGCCCCAACGCCTATCTGCACGGCGCACTCCTGGCGCCCGCAAACGAACGTCTTTCCGAGACAGTGCAACGGCTGCGCGACGAGATGGATGGGTTACCGGAGAGCATCGCCATAACGAGGGTGTCTCAAAGCATGGACCATCGGTTTGGTCCGCGGTTTACTGCAAAACAACTGTGGGTTCCGATCAGTTCGAAGCAGTACCACAACAGGACGTTTAGCCACTTCAAGAAGGGGGATGTCATGCTTGTCCGGGATGCTGGGAAGAAGGGCAATCGTTCGGCCGCCAAAGGGGATGTGAAGACCTTCATCGTCATGTTCGTCTTACTGCTTGTTTTCATTTCTTTCGGCCCTTAACTAAATAGAGTAGCGATGAGTGTCAGTGCGGAGTCCCGAAGCCGGCCCGGAATGGTATTGATACCTATATTTACGGAGTACCATACGGGAATGGTGTAATTGCAAGACAGGGTAGGAAGAATCTCTAGAGCTTGCAGACCGACATCATAGGAAAGTATCGATACTACCTATATCAGATGCGTACATACGAGAATACCAAATGGAAACTATCATCTATTTCAATTTTACATAACCCCACTTTATCCTCGTGTCCTTCCCACCGTCCTTCGCCTTTGCATCGCCGTGCCCCTCCTTTCCATGCGCATCGCCGTGTCCGTGGCCACCGTCCTTTGACCCGTGGTCATCTTTCTTTTCCGACTTCCCATGGCCTCCATGAGCATCTTTCTTCCCGTGGTCTCCATGAGCGTCCTTCTTCCCACCGCCCCCATGATCAGATTTGGCTGGCCCGTGGGCGCCTTCGGCGGCAGGCGCGGCATGGTCGCCTTCTGCTTTGGGTTTCTTGCCCAGCGATTCGAGCTTTGGTAAGAGGGGCTTTAGCACGGTGTTGTAGATGACGGCCCCTCCGTTGGATTTCGGCGCAATGAGCCAGAGGATGAGGACGAGCTTGAAGGTGTAGTAGAACGGGAATACGCTGAGTACGGCTTCGATGGCGTATTCGAGGAGATCAAGGAAACCAAAAACCACCCTGTGATGTTAAGGGCAAAATCAGTACAGCAAGCTAGGCAAAGCTCGCATCCCCTCACCTATAGACTTACCAATACCCCACCCACTGCTCATGCTGCTTCTTATCGCCAACCGTCTTTGCACTCAGGAACGCCGGAATCACAAATCCAATCAAATCGGTGATGAAATCCGCATGTACATTATTGATGCACATCCCAACGATAGCGCCCAGGACTATCAATATGCCCAGCATGTGAAATTTGTGAACGCCCACTTTCTTTTCGACTGACTGGACGAAAGGGCTGGAAACGGCTTTGTCTATCTGCGAGGGAGAAGAGTCCCAGACCAAAGACCGGTTATTGACGTGCGCGTGTAAGATGAGTGATATTGGGATCACGATGCTGACCTCGTCAACCATCTTCTTGAACTCTTCCTTTGTCATGGACTGCACATTGAGAATAGGGACCAGCATTTTCGCTTTTTTTTTGTAGGCACTTGCGCCCTAACTTGTTCGTTCCCAGGCTTGTCGAAGGTTTATGATGGCAGCGAGGCCTTCTTTGCTCTCTTGACTGAAACGTAGCGAACACAAGCGCTCGACCTGACCAGATACTAGCAAACCACGCAGACCAGCTGCGGCAGCAGAGCAAGATTGGCGTTGGTCGCCCTTCGGAGTTGAGCGCCAAGACGGGGCCGAAGAAGGCGAAGAGGCTCCTTGAGGGACAACACAGAAAGCATGACACATCTCACTGCAGCGCTTAAACCGTCAAACGCGCTGCCTCAGGGCCCAACTGCTCAAACTCCAGTCACCTAAACAGCACTCCAACAAACAGCTTTGCCAACCCGAGCGGAAGGCGGGGATCTGAACGCTGCTCGTATCAAAGTCGAAGCCGATAGAGCCACTCAGCATGTCCGCTGGAACCAAGTTCGGGCAAAGTTCCCGCTCATTCCTACAAGAAGTCCTCGATGTTATCCGTCCGACGCTGACGGGCAACTTATCCTCTGCAAGGTCTTCAGGCACCGGGACCCCTCGAATGTACCAGGCTGGATCTAGTGGGTCGCAACCTACGGAGGAGCTGCTGGTGACCATATTCATAGCGTTGTTGTCGGGGCAACGCGCGATGTTGGTGTCCATCAAGCCGGAGGTGACAAGGGAGCTTCGGAGGACTTTGGAGCAGGTGAGGGCCGTCTGGGACGGAAGGCAAGAATGCCCCTGCCTTATCGGGTATACCCTGCTTACGAAAAACTCGGCCACAGCTATTGTCATACATCTTCAACTTCAGTGTCACTCACGTTCAAGTCGACCGGCCCGACCGTCCACTTTCCCACGTCGAGTTCCTGTCCTCCTTACTCTACAGAGGTCGCGGGGACATCAATGGGGGCACCGGCACACCCATGTCCAGCACCTCTCGGAAACTAGCACAGCCAGGCCATCTGTCTCGTGGAACATCGGAGGATGATCGCGACGTAATGGTAAGCCATGTGCTTGGCATCTGGGCACTGGCGAGGGAGAGACTCTGATGTCTATTCGTCTAATCCACAGATTGCTTGATGTTTGATTCGTAGAAATCTCTTTCGGGCTCGCACATGCGGCAGACATCCTTGCGATCAGACACCTCCGAACCCCTCGAAACCTCCGTGCATTCCTCCATGCATTCATCAATCGGAGTTCCATATCGATCCGCACGCAGCCATACGCGCGCTGCGGCGACGGCGGGGTCGAGGCCCATGTTGTTCCCGCTGATGACTGGAGGAGGGGATACGACGCCGCCAGAGTCGCACACTTCGTTGGGGGGTCCGAAGCAGCTGCCGAATGTGGTTATTGTTGAGGGGATAGATGCTGCTAGTAGATCTGTTTACAGCGCTTTGCATGAAGTAAGGAATGCAGAGTCATGCGACTCCACGTTGCGACTTCTGATCAACCCTTCACACAGGTGATAGAACGAGGACAAGTGACGGATCGGAACTCGGTGTTCCCATGCCCGAACCCATTCCTCATCATTGGGATAACATCCCCATCCGCTCGCGAGCAAGCGATACCCCAACAATTGGTGAGTTGCTGCACATATGCTCCTGAGCAAGTATCGGCCAACTAACACACATGGTCACAGCTAGACAAGTTCTTCCTCTGCCATACTCTCGCAGCTCCACCCTATCGATGCATCGTCACGTATCCACTCAAAGTGCCATTACTGAGATTCGACGTAAGTGAAGGATCAAACATCATATCCTTCCTATTCAACAATCCATAACTGGGTCATGGGGTTACAATTATAGGACTTCGAACGAATGACCCAGAGCGCATCTTTCGTCTACATGCACGCCGACGTGCACTCCTATCTCCGGGACCTCATTACGGCACTACGAAACCACCCATCCGTAGGCGCCGGGGTCTCGCCTAAATGCGGAACGGATCTCATGTACGCGGCTCGGTAGGCAACCATTATGACGTCGTCTGTTACTCCCACCCCTTTCCTCGTTCTCTAACGACTCTTCCCAACTATTGAAGCCTGCTGGCCCTCATATCCGGCAACCAATCCATAACTCCCGATCATGTCATTGCCATGACCGACAAGGTACTCGGTCATCGCCTGACCCCGGCACATCACTCAATATACGTGCCCCTCGATGTTCGCCAGCGGTTCAAGGGGTTGTCGGGGTTGGATATCATTGGTGATGTCCTGAATACAATACCGGTCCCAATATGACCACTTCAGACGTATGGCGACCCGGCGAGGCGACGCGTGATCATTATTTGTACGCCTTTGCAACTTCGGTGACATCGTTTAGGGTGTAAGTTGCCCCGGCATCTTCTCGTGACGAAAGCCACGCGATCACCTCGGTGACCACTACAAAGCAGAGACAGCGTCAGCAACAAAGCACAATTCACAGCGCTGTTCGGCCAAGTGGGGGAAGACACCTACTTTGCTTCTCTTTCCTCGACAGGAACATGACGGTCATGTTGAACCGAGGAAGTTGTGACAGATTCTTCAGCATCCCGAACGCAACATTGTAGTCATTGTCTCTGTTCAACCCGCAGGAGATGAGAGATCTTCTACACAGAACGATGCTTGGCTGTGAAGTGACTTCTTACCTGCGGAAATGGGTATGCAGCACCTCTATTATCTTAGACAGGTAGTTGCTCTCGAGGGAGCTCTTGAATATACGGTTGTAATCTTTTGGATCGATTGCCTAGATCATCAAAGTCAACATCATCAGTCTTTTATCCGGTATGAAGGCCAAGCCGTCTGCGTCCATACCTTCAGATACGTGTAGATTGCATCTGCATCATTCTTCAGCGACTTCCAATCCCGCTCAAACTCGTACATGCTTTTGGGGACAGCGTATTCTGCTTTCTTTGCGGGTATCGGGGACAATGTCCGGGGCGTTGACTGGGCAAGCTTCACGTTACCGGATATGTTTTTGCTTGGTGATGACGGTTTGGTGGCAGCGGTGGGAAGAACTGCCTTGGGCCCCGATATTTCAGTGCTGGCAGGCTTCGGGGCTTCCGTTCGCGCCTTTTTGCCAGCAGCTGGGGTCAAGAGAATCGGCTGATCGCTGTCATCTTCTTCGCCCACTTCCTCGATGTGCAACCTTCGTCTCGTCGGTTGCGTGGGTGCTGATGGTTTCGCCGTGCTCGAAGTGCTACTTGGTGGCTTGGCGGTGCTACTCCTGATGAGCCCCATCACAGTGTTCATCTCGTCTTTCACCGATTTGTTCGTCGGTTCCAGGACCAACGCGCTTTCTAGGTCTAAGTCGCGACATTGTTAGCTTTCTCTTAATGAGAACTCTTCCAGAGTTCCCGACATACCCTGCTTTGCCAGATTCAGCTTCTTCAGTTCTCTCCGCGCAATGCCCCTCCGCCACAACGCTTTCACATTCTTTGGGTCTGAATTCAGCCCTTGGCTACAGTCCGCTTCCGCCTCCGCGAATCTGACAGGTGTTGTCAGCCACATGGTACATCTGAAAATGAACAGAAAAAGTAGGCCTCACCTGTTCAGCTTCAGGTACGCCATTGCCCGATTCACAGGCATGATTGGGCTCGAGGGATCTAGACGCATGCTCTTGGTATAACATGATATCGCTTTCTCGTACTGTCCCTTTTTGAACCAGGCATTGCCCTGCACGGTTGAGAGAGTCCATGATGAGCAGAGCATCCCACTTGCAGCGAAACTGTGACCGATGCCCAACCTTTTCCTTCTCCAACAGTGCCTTCTCCAGATTTGTTTCCTCATCTTCTATTGGGGTAATGGATGATGGCTGCTCGTTCGACTTCGCTGTCGGTGGGGCATCTATCTCGCCTGGTGCCTTGTCCTGCGCGACCTATCAATATGGGTGCAACGTAAACGGTCTGTGCACAGTGATGGTACTAACCACATCAAACTTGTCCCAAGACCGATAGTCGTACGCCTTTATCTTCTCTTCCTTCGCAACGCTCTTCAGTTCTTCGTTGGTTGCGCCTATCATTCCAGCTGGTGTGCGACTTTCGTCTGCTGCTGGTTGCCCGCGAACTGGCGGGAGATTCTATGGGCCGAATGTTACAGTCCACTCATTCGACGAAACCGCTAGATAGAGCACCTGTCCTTCCACCTTCGTAGGTCGAGCAAGCTTCTTCGCAGACTTGTCCTTCTCTTTGATGTCATTTTCCCACGACTGTAGATCGCGAAGGTATTCCTGCATAAGCTGCTCTATGAGTTAAGCGTCCCAAAGTCAGCAACACTACAGAGGACATGAACCTTCAACTCCTCGGCGTTGCGTCTTATGTTCAAAGCAGCTTCCGACATTGTCGTATATTAGTGCTGCTAAACTAGGTTATTCATGTAAGTGAGAGTGGAGAACAACCGAGAAAAGAGACGCGGACGACGTTTTGAACTGCGGAAGCAGGACGCAGAGCTGGACGCAGAGCAGGACGCCGTGACATTCTCAATCCCATCGTCGTCCCCCCCATCAACCATAACCATCCCTAGCAGTCCCTAGCCATCCCTAGAATGGCAGCAACAGCAATTCAAACGCCCCTTGCGGCTCTCCGTTTCCTTCCAACTCCACGCAAAACCTACGCGTCCCATGTCCGCGGAGTCTCTTATGGGAAGGCTTTGTTCGCCGATGCTGATCTCCCGGTAAGCACCACCTTCCCACTGTCCTGCTTCATACACACCATCCCTCACCTGATAGACCAACGCCATGCTATTCGAAAGGCAGGAACGGTGGTAGAGCGGTTCGAGGGTGAAGGTAAAACATCTTCCCGTCTGCGCACAAATCTCCATCCGACACGCGTGGGAACATCACGGGAATGCCTTGTCTCATTGTTCTCCTCCCTCCCATGCACAGTCGTAGATCATCTCTTTCCGGATTACCTCCGTCTCCTCCGTTTCTGAACTGATCGGGTCTCCTTACCGCGCTGCATCTACGCGCGCGCCCCTACCCTGGGCTTGACCGCTTCACACTAAGGAACTAGGCCGCCCTGGGTCCGATCATTGAACGGTGACTCAGGTTAGTTGATTGCACCAGGACGGGGTGTGGATGTTTTGCGTGCTCGTTTCAATCAACGTGTTCATCCGACAGTGCTCTACAATGCAGAGTAATAGTTTTCTGCCGGTGTGGACGATTGCGGCGGGGCAACGGCGATCCCATCGTTCGGCAATGGGCTAGCCATAGGGACGGATCTTACGCCGTTGCCTATGTGTGATGGGACCTTCGGTTTCCGCCCTGCGCATAACCTGTACGCAACCGTGATCCAGCCGAGCAACGGCATATAAAGGACAGTGGTAGCTGGGAAACGGCGATCCCATCGTTCGGCAACGGGCTAGCCATAGGGACGGACCGTCGCCTATGTGTGATGGGACCTTCGGTTTCCGCCCCGCGCACACCTGCTGCCATCTGAACCTAGCCGTACACTTCAGCATTCTTCAAGGACGCAATGGTGAGCTAGCGCCTGATGCAAATTAATGATATGTATTGAAAATCACTGACTACGATTTTTGGTTCTCGTGACATATGGTCCCCGTCGGAGTATCACCTTTTCCGAGCTTAAACATTGAGCGTGGGCGTCACGTTGGCGCACTTGATAGGTAGCTTTCACCTGTTTCAAGAGCTGCCATTCGGGATCACCGAGGTTGAAACTGTTACCGTACATATGCCCTCTTTTCCTCAGGCGTGACAACTCTCGGAAACTTCTACGTTCTTTGCTTCTTTACGGGTGGGATCTGGGGTGTGGGCATCTTCATTTCATATCAGGCTTTGATGTTCGCACAACACAATTTGGCGGATGCACCAAGTCAGGCGAACATGTCGGATTCTTGGATACTGACGGCACTGTGAGGAATCTCCGTTGCAGCACAAGCCTCAAAAAACGGCCCTTCCTGTATTATGGTACTATGGATCAGGGCAGGTACCGTTGCATTCGGGTGGGAATATCCTACGAGAAAACTGTCAAAGACACGCATATAAAGACCACAGAGGCCGCCGCTGCAGATGGTCTGGACGATGGTGACGCCCCGAGGGACGACGATAGCATAGTGGAGGACTTGGAAGACGTGCAGGATGCGGAAGTTCACCAAAGCACCATTAAACAAGTTGAAAAAGAACCAACGAGCGAGGCCGGTTGAGACTAACAACGCATATGGCCACCGTGCGAGGTCGTATCTTGTTGAGTTATTACTGGGAAGTAGCCGATGAAGAGTAGAACCATTACTGGTCTTAATGTATTACTTGTTGTATGTCTATATACTCCGGACTCTGGCGTCGGGGTCTTTGTCTCTCTGACCGTGACCAGACTGCTTACGCGTCTGCTTACGCAATGACAGCAACTGACAGGATAGTTCGCGTCTCTGCACAACACTCCCCCGACTCGAGCTGTCCAAAAGTCAGCCTGTCCAACTCCCGCTCTCAACTCCATTCCAATCAACAACACACTCTCTCTTTCCGACACCCAAATCCAACCAATCCATCAAGATGCCGAACGGCGGTCCAACTTGCCCGATCTGTATGATCAACCCTGCCAACTACAACGGGCCGTGCGGGCACCTATTTTGCCGTACGTGCATCGTCCAGGAGATGGTGTTGAGTCTCGAGAGAGCAAGAGCAGGGGGAAGGCGTTGGAGGATTTTGACAGTTTTGACAGTTTCTTCCGTAAAGAGTGACACAGAGAGGTACTGTACCATATGAGGGGCGCTCGATGGTCAAGCGACGCCTTCGAGAGGTATATTCGGGCTCACCCCGCCCTATTATTTGCAGCTGCTGTATACGGGAACTGAAAGTAGGGTAGCTGCCGCGCGATTGTACCATATTTATCAACAGAGCTTTTCTTTCCTTGCTACTGCTATGCCACGCTAGCCCGCTACGCTATCCATGCTTAACTTTTATCAACAGAAGGACTTCATCGCTACTGCCACGCCACAGGCCACGGTAATACAAAAGGGGCTTCATCGCTACTGCCACGACGTTCGCCACGCTACCTACTGCTACACGCTACCCACGCTACACTAGCCATTTCTTCAGATGACCCCGGGTCACTCGGGGTCACTCGGGGTTGCCGAAGAAGTCTTCGATGTCCCCCAGCATATATAAGGCACGTTCGAGGTCGACAGTCAACCGTCGCCTGTTGATGTTGATTACCTCCCGGACCTTGTTCGCGAGTTTCTTGACTAGTGTCTGTGTGGGCCCTTCCGCCAACGATGTGCCAGCAATCACCAGGACCGTGCCACTTGGTGCGCGCACCTGTTCAGCGGCCTCCACCATGCTCATGTTCCACGGATCAAGGCCATATAAAAAGCAAGGGTGGGGTTGTCTTGCTTGATCTTCTGTGAAAAAAGGCCAATCGCCTTGGCCTTGTCTTCTAGGCTGGCGTCCCGGGCGGCAAGGCCGGCGTCTACCAGCAGCGGATACAAAAAGGCCACCGTGTCGCCGAAGATAGCTGTGGCGCAGGTCTCGCCCATGCCCATCAGAAGAGCCTCGACCGCGGTGGGTGCGACCGGGGGCGTGGCCTGCGGCGCGGTAGAGGGGAAGGGGGGAAGGGAAGGTGTTAGCATCTCAGCCCGTGAGATCAGCGTATAGCAAACACGCTCAGGCAGCACGGCCCATGCAGGTCGACCTCCCGCAAGCGGCGGTCGTGCTCAACATGGACCGCGAGCCCAGGCGGCCAACACCCAGCGGAGACGCCCAGACAGCACGGCCCATGCAGGTCGACCTCCCGCAAGCGGCGGTCGTGCTCCATATGGACCGCCAGCCCAGGCGGTCAACAGCCAGCGGCCACTCACCTTGCTTGACGTTTCCATGCTCAAATGCGCTTGCTCTGCGTGAGTTGCCGGGCTTGAGCTGGAAGGAGGTGGGCGCTGGCCAGGGGTGAGGGGGCTGTCGTCGAGACGTTTCCATGCTCAGAGTGTGCTCTGCGTGAGTTGCGTGAGCTGCGAGCGCTTGACGTTTCGTTTGAGAGGAGGAGAGCGTGGTCTTGGAGATGCGGCGACAAGCCACAACTGCGCCACGACTGCGCCAGGCTGTAAATCCTTCCTGCTCTCCGCAATCTTTACCACAGCACTGACGCAAGTTCTTTGACACACAGCCATCACGGCAATCACCTGCAACACCTGTCTCGGCACAGCACAGCCAACATGTCATCACACCAGGCGCTCCAGGGGCACCTGTGGTGGTGCATATTTACTGGAGCAACCACACCACGGCAGAAGAGGAGGAAGGTTGCTCTGGTTACCCAGCAATTGCCCATATGTCTGCCAGCCACACCATTGCAAACCCCACGATTCGAGCTCCCGCCCTCTGTCCATCGCCACTTGCCCCAAGCAATTGCAGACATGGTTGGCGAGAGCTCCGGCGATGAAGACAGGCAGCAGCAGCAGCCGCAGCGAGGGCTTTCACCTGCGGACAGGGGTCTGCAGCGCCCACTGAACCTTCCCGCGCCCATCCCTTTCCGTTTTCCCAGCACACCGGGTGGATCCCTGGTGTATGAACCCCCGCCACCACCACCAGCTCAACGACCCCGCCCGCAAACACATGCCAGCACCAAGGTTTTGCTTCACCGAATCATCCATAATCAAGTTCAAAGGGAGCAAAGGGAGCGCCTGACAACATTCGTCGGCAATGTTCACATCCTTGCGCGCCACACCAGCTTTTTTCTCAAGTACTACCTTGGTGAGTTTTTGAGGTACACAGTATATTTCCCATAAACCAATGTCCTGACTGCTACGTCTGCCCCCCACCACAGCTGATCATCCTCTACACGATTTCCCGGACATCACCGACAAGCACATCAGTGTGATATTTGAGCTGCTAAACAATCCAGGCTACAACGGCAATCCGGTCATCGTGCAAGTGTTGCATCCATGGGTTCAAGACTACTGTGATGTTCACGGATTCGCCCCCATCCGCATGCAGTATTGCCATCAGACCGCAGCGTACACGGCTACGAGCATCTTCACAAACCTCAAAGTTAACGTACAAGAGCATTTCATGCAAATTTTTCTGCGCTACGTCAATGAAAGGCTTGGTTTGAAGCAAGTCGTACTGCATCTCCGTAGAGCTGGAGTCAACCGAGCGCAGCGGCGACACTATTATCAGCGTGTCCGTCAGTTTAAAAAGTATGCGACGTTTGAAGAGTTTCCAACCGAAGAAGAGTTTGCGCGCCTCACACGACTTGAGCGGACCGTCCTCGACGAGTTATGGGCTCTGTTTCCTCCCCAGGATTGTTATGATCTCGACGACGTGGGCGGAAGCGAAGTAGAGAAGACAGGGCAGGTGTGATAGGCGACAAGAGATTGTATTGGCAAAACAAGAAACAAGGACTAGAACAGGAGATGAGAAGAACTGGTGTTGATCTGCTGGGGAGGAAGGGAATGGACGAAGAGAGGCCGGCTATTTATAGATAGGCAACCCAGCAGATCAGAGAACAACAACAACAAGAGGGGACTGGGGGGCGCCAGCTATGCTCCTAGAGCGTGCATGGCGAGCGTAGAGAGCATTGCTAGAGCTGCTGGCTATGAGGAAGCAGTGGGGGGTGTGGAGAAGCCAAGGGGGGATTGGCAAAATGAGAGGAGAGAGGAGGAGTGGCGATATTGCAAGAGGATTGGCAAAATGAGAGGAGAGGGGGGAGTGGCATTGACATTGACATTGACACTGACATTGACACTGACATTGACATTGACATTGGCGTTTGACATTTGGCGGTTGACATTGGCGGCTGTCAGTAGGTAAGCTTATGGTATGGGCGCGTCGTCCATAACATCACCCCTCTCTTTAGCGGCGGCGGCGGCGGCGTCGAGTTTGGTGTGGCCGCAGAGGAGGTGCTACGGGGACAGAGGAAGGTTTGTTGGGGTACGCGCTGTGGAAGTCCTGGAGGAGTGCGTCGGTATGGGTGAGGTGTTCCACGGGCTCCCAGGTGTTCTCGGAGTCAGGCCAGCCCTGCCATTTGACCAAGTACTGAAGGCGACGACAATGGATGCGAGAGTCAAGGATGGCTTCGACAACCCACTCTTCTTGACCCTCAACGGTCTCTGGGGGCGCGGGTTCGGGTTCGTGTCGTTCGGGGATAGTGAAGCGGGGTTCGAGGAGCGAGACATGGAAGACATCGTGGATTTTGTACGTAGGCGGGAGCTTGAGCCGGTAGGCGACGGGATTGATTTTTTCAACAATGGGGAATGGCCTGATCTTGCGATGGTCGAGTTTCTGAGAGGGCCGGGCTGTCTGGAGGTTTTTGCGGAGGAGCCAGACATGGTTGCCAGGCTTGAAGTCCGGTCCAGGAATTCATTTAGCGTCGGCGTAGCGCTTCATCTGATCTTGGGCTTCCTTGAGCTCGAGGGCGAGCTGTTCATGGACTTCCCTGATTTGTTTAGCGCGGGCTTCAGCGGCGGGGTTGACGGATTCGGAGGTAGCAGAGGCCGCGAAACTGAAGCGGGGGTGGAGACCCTTGTTGGCGTAGAAGGGGGTGGTCTGGGAGGCGGACTGGTGGGTGTTGTTGTAGGCGAACTCGGCGGACGACAGAAGCTGTTTCCAGTTGTCCTGTTGGTGGTTGCAAAAGCATCGGAGATACTGCTCCAGGATCTGGTTGGTGCGTTCCGTCTGGCCATCGCTCTGGGGGTGGAAGGCCGAGGAGAGGTTGGCTTTGCCCCAAGGAGTTCGAGAAGTCAACGCCAGAACCGGGACTTAAACTGGGGTCCTCGGTCAGAGATGACGTCGTCGGGGAGGCCGTGGAGACGGATGATGTTGTGGAAGACTAGGTCGGCGGTGGATTCGGCGGATTCTGACTCGCTGCAGGCGATGAAGTGGGCCATCTTGGTGAGGCGACAGTTGACGTTCAGGATGGAGTCGTACCCGTCCACGGGAGGCAGACCGGTGATAAAGTCCAGGGACCAAGATCCCCAAGGGCGGGTAGGGATACTGTTGGGCTGGAGTAGGCCGTATGGTTTGTGTCGACTGGATTTCGCTTTGCTACAGGTATCGCAGGACTTGACGTAGGCCTTGACGAAGCGCCACTGGCTGGGCCACCAGTAGTTGCGGGAGGCGAGTTCGAGCGTCTTGGACATCCCAAAGTGGCCGGCTAGGGGAGTATCGTGCTTGTCGTGGCAGACTTCAGCTCGGAGCTCGTTGGTGGGGACATAGACCAGGTTATCGTGCAGCAGGATCCCGTCTTCATCTGAGAACCGCTTGATACGATCTTGGGTTTCCTCGGTTCGTTGGGCGAGGGGTATCTTGAGCTGTTGGCGAATGGTCTTAGCGAGGGGATCAGAGGCCTGGGCGGCCTTAATCTTGTCAAGCAGCGTGGTATCCATGGGTGTGAGGTAGGCCGCGGCGAGTCGAAGGCGTTCGGGAGTCAAAATTGTGGTTGCCTGGGAGCGGAACGCTTCTTCCCCCTTTTTAAGCTCATGTTCGGAGCGTCGGGAGAGGGCATCGGCTTGGTGCTGCTGGGAACCGGGGCAATAGGTAATGACAAAGTCAAAATCCGAGAAGAATATCGACCAGCGGGCTTGGCGGCGGTTCAGGGTGCGGGTGGTCATGAAGTACTGAAGGTTTTTATGGTCGGAGTAAACGGTGATCTTGTGACGGGCGCCAATGAGATGGTGTCGCCACTGGGCAAAGGAGTCTTGGATGGCCAGAAGTTCCTTGTCGTAGATCTCGTAGTTGATCTCTTCGGCCGTGAATTTGCGAGAGTGGAAGGCCACGGGGTGGAGCTGATTGTCCTGGTCAGTTTGGAGGAGAACTGCGCCAAGAGCGAAGTCGGAGGCGTCAGTTTCGACGACAAAGGGCTTCTCTGGGTCAGGGTGAGCAAGGATGGGGGCGGTGGTGAATGCTTTCTTCAGGTTCTCGAAGGCGGTGTCCAGGCGGGTGTCCAGGCGTACGGGATGTCTTTCCGGGTCAGGGCTGTGAGCGGGGTAGCGATCTTGGAATAACCCTGGATGAATCGGCGATAGAAGTTGGCAAAGCCGAGGAACCGCTGGACGCCTTTGACAGTCTTGGGAGGTTCCCAATCCGTGATGGCAGCAATCTTCTTGGGGTCCATCTGGATGCCTTTCTCGGAGATGATGAAGCCTAGGAACTCAACGGATTCGCGGTTGAATTCGCACTTCTCTGGTTTGGCGTACAACCCATGCTGTCGGAGGCGGGACAAGACTTTGCGGACATGTTTGGGGTGATCTTCGGGGTTCTTGGAGAATATCAGGATATCGTCGAGGTAGACGACAACAAACACATCGAGAATGTCGCGGAAGATGTCGTTCATTAGGTACTGGAAGACGCAAGGAGCATTGCTCAGTCCAAAGCGCATGACATTGTATTCAAATAGGCCGTAGCGGCAGCGGAAGGCGGTTTTCCATTCATCGCCCGGGCGCATGCGTAAGAGGTTTTAAGCGCTGCGGAGGTCGATCTTGGTGAGACGGCGGGCGCCGCGCAAACAATCCATGATACCGTTGATCAGGAGCAGGGGGTAGCGATTCTTCACCGTGATGCTGTTTAGGCCTCGATAATCGACGCAGAGGCGGAGAGAACCGTCCTTTTTCTTCACGAATAAGACTGGCGCACTGGCAGGGGACTTTGAGGGTTTGATGAATCCTTTGGCGAGGTTTTCTTCGAGGTATTCGCAGAGTGCCTTCATTTCTGGTTCGCTGAGGCTGTAGATCGGGCCGAAAGGTGGCTGCTTGCCTTCTTCCAGATCGATTGGACAGTCGTAGGGCCGGTGCTCGGGGAGAGTGTCAGCATTTCTCTTTTCGAAAACGTTGGCGAAGTCTTGATACTCGGGGGGCAGGAAGTCTTTGATGTCTTTCTCGGGTGTCGGGGGGTTACTGGGGCTAGGCGAGGCTGGGAGATCGGGTTTCGCAGGGTTAACGTAGGCGGCAAAGACCTGGTCATGCCTTGCTGCGACCCGGAAGGCTGGGGCGGAGATGAACGAGACTCGGAGCGGCGTGGGAGCCGGTTCTGGGGTGCTGGAGCGAGATACCTTGGGTACTGGAATCGACCATGTTTCGTCGACGGGAACTTCATCCTGGGGGATGCGGATCAAGGGCTCGGGGGTTCTGGCGGGTGCTGGGCTCGGGGGTGCTGGAGAGTTGTCCCAATTTGCGAATTCATGGTACTGACATTCGCAACGGAAACCGACCGAAAGGTTCTTGAAGTCAAGGTTAATGTCGTGGAGGCGGAGCCAGGGGAGTCCAAGGAGGATCGGAGCATGGGGTGATTTGGTGACATGGAAGACGAGTTCTTCGAAGTGGTCGTCGACCCACATGCCTACTGGTTGGGTGTGATGGGTGATTGGCCCAGCAGAGCTGGGTTGACCGTCAACGAGTTCGATCGTCAGTGGACGCTGATGCGGGACTAGGGCGATGCGGTGTTTGCGGGCAAAGTCTCTGTCGATGAAGCAGGACAGGGCACCGTTGTCGATCATGGCTGAGGTAGGTATCGGGGCGCGGCTGGATGATACCATGATGGTAACGGGGTAGTTGAAGGGTTTGACGGGACCCAGCGCAAGCATGGCGCGGGGGTTAATTTCGGAGTTTTCGACATGGGCAGCGGCTAGGAGGGTTGTGTCGGCTATAACGGAGTCGGGAACCAGGGGGGTGGCCTCTCCCGTTGCAGGAGCTGCGAGGTTAGGAGGCCCGGGGCGGTGTGTGTTGTCCAGTCGCTGGGGCTTTACTGCGGCTGGACTTTGGGAAAACCCTGTTTGGTGGAGGGTTCTTTGATGTCAATGTTGGCGGCACGGGTGGTGGTCTTGTTCTTGACGGGGCAGACTTTTGCAATGTGCCCCGCGCCACCGCAGTAAAGGCAGAGGTTGTTGGAAATGCGGCGTTGGCGTTCCTGAGGGCTCAGAGGGCCGCGGGGACAAGCGGCGTAAATCTGCATAGGCTCGCTGTGGTCGACAGTGGTGGTAGTAGTAAACGAGGTATGGGGAACCGGGAAGGTCTGGCGGCTTCTGTTTTGCTCCAGGCGGCGCTCAAACAGCCGGTTATCGCACTGGATAGCCTGCTCCATCACCACATCAATGGTGGCCGCAGGGGGCATTGTGAGCATCAGGTCTTTGACGTTGTTATGAATGGGCGGAGCCGATGGAAATAGAGGCGACTTGTGGTGCAGGTTGTTGACAGGTAATGGTATTCAGACCGAAACAAGAACTAGAACAAGACTAGGAAGAACTGGTGTTGATCTGCTGGGGGGATCAGGAAGTGGGGAGCTCAGGGGAGGCGGCTATTTATGTTTTTCTGGGAAGGCTGGGGAAGCGTGGGGAAGCAGAAGGGTACGGAATGAGAGGGAAGCCAAGA